ATAACAGGGCCAAAACCCTTGCGAGGGTCAACGGCGGATGGCGACGCAACGACCGAGTCGAGTGGCGGAGCGCGTTTGGCGCACGTATTGATAGATGGCGCTACCTCTTTATTGAAACTGCTCGCGATGACTGTGGTCTATTAAAATGAATACAATATTTTACGTTACGTACCTTTGGTTCAAAAATAAAAGCAAAAAGAAAAGCAAAACTTGAAGTAAAAAAAAAGTTCCAACACCGCGGTTGCATAACGAGCGCGTTCTTGCAGCCTGCAGATTTCGTCTGCGTGTCGTCTGCTTTCTTTCGCTTCTCGGCTACACCTTCCGACGCTGCTCCCGACGCCATCTATCAATACGTGCACCAAACGCGCCCCGCCACCCGACTCGATCGTCTGCGTCGCCGTTCGCCGTTGACCCTGGCAAGCTTTTTGGCCTTATTTTGTTACAAAAACGGAGCTCCGCTTTGTAATTTTACCGATACAACCGACCTGTGAAATACATATTTTACGAAAAGTATAGATTGCTACGTGCAGGCGGTCGCTTTTACGGTCCATTTTAGATCAAGCATGTTGACTTCATACGCCTTATATTTCTATTTTTGTTCAAGTTTTCGTTGTGCATGAAAATGGTCAATTATCCAAATCTTTTTACTGACACGATGAGTAAGACAAAGCGGCGGACTCACTCGAAGCCTTCCAGCCGAGCCACGTGCTCCAGCACGTTCCTCCATTCTTGCATTCGGGTGTCTCCTCCACGCAGCCACTTCCTGAGCACATCCAGGCAATGCGGCGACACGTCCGCCAGAGTCACACACTGAAAGCAGCGGCTCGCCGACAGCACGCAGTGAACCGTTGGTCCACATCCCAGGTCGAGGAAGTCCACGCCGCCGAGGCTGAACAGACAAATCGTACAGATAATTCTAAATTTGTAAATATTAAAACTGAGAGCAATCAATCTCGCAGTCAGCTTAAAATCCAGCGGGCCAAACCAGCCTAGTGAACGTAATTGAGACTTCACAACCTATCAAATTGCAGCGTCAAGGGGCGAGATTCGTGACGCTGCAATTTTATAGGTTTTATAGGTCAAGGGGCGAGATCCGTGACAAACGAAGCCTGGATCTTCGAGCAAGGACATTACTTCAACATGAAGACAGCATAGAAAAGGACAGAACGAAGTGCGTGAAGCATTAACTTTCAGCGTAGTGAAAAGCACCCGAGATTTTGTTTATTCGTGACAACCTTCAAATATGTTAAATCTGCATAGGAAGTGTACATCTCCAAGGCCTCACTGCGAGCTGGAAGAAAACAAGATTCATTTGGAGACTAGAGTTTGTCGTATGTTGCTCCGTCTTTACGCACAATGCTGTGAACGCTTAATTGCCGACAAATAATATTTTGCGCGTTACAGTTTCAACGTTACATCAGCTTTTTCAGCCCACAAACACAGCCACCTTCACCGACAGTTTCTTTTCGCTGAACCGTCGCAGAGCTTATCATCGTTACTACCCGCTCAAAGGTGCCTCTCGTACGCGCGGAAGACCTTATCCGTATCTTTCTTATCATAACGTTATTTAGGTCCTTAGCTTCGCAGGCTTGTGACGGAGAAAACAGAACGGGACCTAGACTCTGTCATTTCATGATTAAAGATTAAAACAGCGCAAGGACACGGACAAGAACAAGAAGGTAGACAAACAGCGCCTTGTTTGTCTACCTTCTTGTTCTTGTCTGTGTCCTTGCGCTGTTTTAATCTTTAATTATGAAATACCAACTAGCCCAAACTTCTACTTTAGTCTGTCATTTCGTCTGCAGTATATTGTACCTAGATAGCGCGTAAGTAGATAGGACGGTCTAATCGTAATAGAAGAGTCGAATGATTTTGTTCGCCTTGACACCCATGCACCTCCTTCTTTGGTATAGCCATGGCAGATTAAGAAACGCCGTGCGTGATTTATTGCGTTCGCTCGTTCGGCGTCGCGATACGTCCCTCGGCGTCGTTATCGGCAAATGTCGCTAACATTTTGGGTACGGAACAATAATGAGACGCATCAGACTCGACACGCCCTGTGTTTCTTAGATTATCAGTGACTATAGTTATTGTAATCGCTCGTATTTAAACGCCTAATATTGCGATCGTCTATATTTACTTTGACAAAATCTTTGATCCATACTTCTTGATAACGGGGCAGTAGTTATATCCGGAGCACGCAAAATGTCAAAGGTCTTTCGACGTTCCATTTTTTACACACAAAAGAAAAAGAAATGGACGCTGCGCGATAACAGCCCGCGTGGTGCAGTTTTCCGTCCAGTTTCTTCCGGAAAAGAAAAGGAGCTCCCGTACTTTCACAGCCACCGTCCAGATCGGTATCTGCGCCGCCTAGCAATTCTTATTCCGAACGCGTTGGCGGTTTCACTACGTGTAATCGCCAAAAGAAAGCGAGAACGCGAACCTGTTCCTATGAAACGAGGCAGGACCATTGCTCGGGCGAAACCCGTTCGTACGTGCGACATCTTTTTTTCAGGTTTTATTTTTAATGGTGCTCTCTTATTTTACAACGTGGAAGCAATGCAATGCCACTTACACGTGTTTCACTTTAAAAAAAAAAAAAAAGAAGTGTTAGCTACTTGTATACTTTGTTCAGCTTTCAGCCCGACTGAAAAAAAGGCATATATTAGTGTTAGATACTTGTATACTTTGTTTAGCTTTAAGCCCGACTGAAAAAAAGACGCATACATTAGTGTTAGCTACTTGAACACTTTGTTTAGCTTTAAGCCCGACTGAAGAAAAAACGCATATATTAGTGTTAGCTACTTGTACACTTTGTTTAGCTTTAAGCCCGACTGAAAAAAAGAGGCATATATTAGTGTTAGCTACTTGTATACTTTGTTTAGTTTTAAGCCCGACTGAAAAAAGAGGCCTATATTAGTGTTAGCTACTTGTACACTTTGTTTAGCTTTAAGCCCGACTGAAAAAAAGAGGCATATATTAGTGTTAGCTACTTGTATACTTTGTTTAGCTTTAAGCCCGACTGAAAAAAGAGGCATATATTAGTGTTAGCTACTTGTACACTTTGTTTAGCTTTAAGCCCGACTGAAAAAAGAGGCATATATTAGTGTTAGCTACTTGTATACTTTGTTTAGCTTTAAGCCCGACTGAAAAAAAAAACAGGCATATATTAGTGTTAGCTACTTGTATACTTTGTTTAGCTTTAAGCCCGACTGCAACCTACACGACAATCCGAAGGAGCGAATCAAGCAGCACCAAAAGTTTATCGTCAAGGAACTCATCATGTTTGCCCGCATTTGTTGACACCGACTAGACCAATAAAGAGGATCGTGTAAGCGATATTTGCGGAATACGGCACCTCACGCACACTTGCGTGTTTGACCGAACGTCAATTAGGCGGATAATTCGGCGCCGTTACACCTCCCATCAAGGTTACTCGCGGTACTAATCTTTCGTGTTAGTCATAAAATACTTTCGGCTACAACATATTTCGTACGCACAGCCGTAGGGTGCTCGCGTGGTATAAGTGCATAATGTGAACGACACGAATTGTTTCGTCCCATTGTACATCCAAAAAGCTGCATAGGTTCATATTTGTCTAAATAAATAAATATATTCTGAATAATCAAAATAATACCAATACCGTTTCAATAAATAAAACTTATAAATCGTCGAAAATGGCGGTTCTTATTTTTAGAGGCAACACCTTCAACCAACCAAGATCTCTACAACCAGTACTATATTTTTTTATTCCAAGTAATGATGTATCTTATGTGCAAAAACAGCTATTTGCATGTACGTATAGGCAGATTACTTACGGTATGCTGCACGCCGTAAAGATTTATTTTTCTTTCTTTTCTTTTTCACTGAGGCAGAAAATATCCTCGTTGTCTGCATACACCGCATGCAATTACACATCTCTCATTTTCCCAAGCCTGTCGCAGCTGTTTGCTGAAGGCCGCGAACTGCGCGGTGCATTTGGTATATAGCTTAGGTGAAGGTCCCCGCCTACGGCGTCATTAGCGCACCAGCGTACTAAGTGTGTCATTAGTCCTTTTCGGAGGTCCAAATATATTCCAAGGATCAAGAGTCACGCATCTTTTTAAGTCGCAACGTTCTTCGTTTGTACACTTGTGAACCCTCCTCAGGAATACTATAGAGTAACATATCTACTCTGTGCTTTCTGGCAATAGTAAAAACTTCGGTGTCACTTGGACTCTTTCAAATGAAGTACTATCAAATTGATAATAAAATACTGGGAAGACACGCACCCTTGACAAAACGTATTTTTGTTTTTTTAATTGGGGAGGATTTTTTTCACTTTTTTTAGTCCATGGGAAGCTGAGGGTTTATGATAATGACGTTTTTGTTAACTCTGTGCAGACTAATTATTACTTGGTTTATTGGGATCGCAAAACAATGCCCGATTTATCGTCACCCCTTATTCGATTAAGTAATCGATTAATCGCACGACACGCATATCTCGCGTAATCTCGGGTAATGAAAAGTAGAACGATATTTGCACTTCGGATGAGTGCTGTAATCACGACAATTCTGCGAAAGATATCGCCAGGACAGTCACGAAACTTTATTAATATAAGTAAGAAATGGCGCCATATCTAAGTATTGATAAGCGCCAACCACCTTTCCCTGAAGCGTACAATCCTATTTTTGCTTTCACTGAATTCGAAGGTGAGATTATCTTTATAGCGCACGGAAAGCAAACAAAGGAAAATCATGTGTAACGGGAATCCTGGTATTAACAGAGGAAATAAACCAAAAGATTGCAAATAACACCCTTGCTTTGCACTTAAAATACCTACTGATAGTAACGTTATTGGTAAAAAGTACTTAATAAAACACTGCTATCCTTGAAGGAACACGACAAGCAAGCACGTAAACGTGGCACTTCCATGACCACAGTGTACTGACCCATCCTTCTCGAAACCAACTCATCAATGCGTACTCGAACAAAAAAAAAATAAAAAAACAGAGCTCACCTTCCTTTAGAAAATGTTTCGTGCAGGTAATCCAGAGTGATCTTCACCCACTTGTAATGAAAAGTCAGCAGGTCCGACAGGTATGCCTTGGGCTCAAACAGACGCACGTACTTCTCACGCAACGCGACAGCGTCCCGCGGCAGCGTCTCGTCCTTCGACATGATGCGCAGCCACGAGTGAAGCATCAGATCCAGCGATAATTTCGAGTGGCCGAACTAGCACGACCCACCAGACCGACACGCAGCCGCGAGCATTCGTCGGCCGCCGTCACCAAGACCACAGAAAGCACATCCTCTGCACGGACCGTCGGCATCGCGCGCTTCCACTAGACCGTGACAGCGCGCGTCGTCTGCTTCGTTTTTTCGCGCCTCCATCTTGGATTCTTGACGCTTGTGTATCCGGTTCCCTCTCTCTCTCGCTCAGGATGCGAACTGGCTCACATGCTTGTTGGTACCAACCCGACCGTAGCGAGCATAGCAAAACAAAAAGAAGAGCGGAGGCACTTGCGGTACAAAGTGGGGCCCTCTAAAACGCAGCGTGAGCGAAAACTTCCTGCTGCTCGAGCCGCCACGAAGGTCGACCGGACGATCTAGCTCGACGTCGAGAGGCACACGACGACGAGCAACCGAGCGAGCGGCCACGAAAACACATCAGGGCGAGGGAAAGTTGGCTACAGGGGCCGTCCTACAACTCGCCCGAAGTGCGGAGTTCCCCCCCAGCGCCGTGACTTTCTCTTTCTTTATTATCTTGCCGGACGACGAGGTCTGTGACGTCTGTGAGAACGTTGCGGTTGTCCTTCGCGCAACGTGCGGGTGGCCAGAGGTTGCGCTCGCCGGTGCACTGGAAGCCGTGGTTAGCGGGCCGGACCTCATCATATATTGAAATTAAGGCCAATCTACTCCACAAATTTATACTTTTTTCTATGACAATATTTTTTTCGCAATATATCGCTCTGCATTGCGTTCTATTCCACTATATTTCATTTTATTGCAATGTGTTTTCCTCTGATGCATTACATTCCGGTATGATGCAAAATATGCTAGTCTCACCGAAGCAATGAATGTTGGGCAGTGGACCGAATTTCGTTAAATATTAAAATTATGTTTTACATCTCTACTGCATTGCACCATTATATTACATTATACAATTTTTAGGGCTGGGCGTTGATTAAAAGCTTTAACCCGATTTATCGTCACCCCTTATTCGATTAAGAAATCGATTAATCGGTCTCGGTAATTTGCATGCATTATATTTTTCAAAACTCAAAATTAATATTTGTTTAACATTTTGGACAAAACCTGAAACTGGAGGGGAAAAGGACAACACAACACAAAGTCTCAAACACAGCTAAAGTTTATTGGACAGAAGATCGTGGTTTTATAGGGCACAGGTACCCGGAACCAAAAAGTAATGAAAGAGGGAGAAGATGAACTTCTTTTTCCCGAACACACAAGAGATGGACATTGACCAACGGAAAAAACCGGTACTGTTCTAGCTCAAACAAAAAAAGGGGGGGGGGGGGAGGGGGGAGGGGAAGATCTCTTAACCCACCTCGGTGAGGTCCTGATAACAACACTAAAAAAGAAGAAAGAAATCTTTCCCATTAGGGGAAAGATCGAACATGGACAAACACGAAGAAACCCTGACATTCGTCACACCCGAAACAAAGGGGCAGGGGTAAAACTTAAACCCGAACAAACAACATCCTACACAGATATAAAGGTGACCTCCAAACAATCAAATCTGTAAAAATCTTTTCAACTCCGTGTCCAAATTAAAGGATGGCCTATTCACTGCATTTCCGTGGCTAATAATAGTGAGGGACTCTCTTACCAAGCGTTTTTGATCCTCTCTTGGTCAACATAACCGATGTGGAATTCCAAAGAGGTACACGATTATTATATTCTAACGCAAGTTTTGACATTTCTGAATACTGATCTTTGCTTCTAATACAACGTTTGTGTTCATTTAAACGATCATTCAAACACCGCCCCTGCCTTTCAAAAGTTGTCACACAAAGAATATTAAGGCTGGCATAGTCAGGAATCTAGTAGATAGTGCACTTAGGAAATCTTGTTCGCACTCCCCGTTTCAGCGTGGCAGGTTTTCCCGAGGATTATGTGTTCAGACAGCTGCTGTACCGGGTTAATATGAGGAAGATATGTTCAAAGGTTCGTAAATCTGGCTGGCGCGTTGTTCTCCCATTCTTCCATCGTATCTCTCATAATCTAAAATCAGCCGGAAACCCCTACGGCATTAGCACTGTGTTCAGAAATGATTTCAAACTAAGTCGGTTGACCCCGTTTAACTCGGCCAAAACCGGATGTACCAAAAAACATAGACAAAAAGATGTAGACTGTGTGTCAGGCGTAGTTTACAAGATTCCTTTTACCTGTGGGTTATGTTACATTGGACAAACGAAGCGGTGTTTGAATGATCGTTTAAATGAACACAAACGTTGTATTAGAAACAAAGATCAGTATTCAGAAATGTCAAAACATGTGTTAGAATGTAATAATTGTGTACCTCTCTGGAATTCCACATCGGTTATGTTGACCGAGAGAGAGGATCATAAACGCTTGGTAAAAGCGTCCCTCACTATTATTAGCCACGGAAATGCAGTAAATAGGCCATCCTTTAATTTGGACACGGAGTTGAAAAGATTTATACAAATTTGATTGTTTGGAGGTCACCTTTATATCTGTGTAGGATGTTGTTTGTTCGGGTTTAAGTTTCACCCCTGCCCCTTTGTTTCGGGTGTGACGAATGTCAGGGTTTCTTCGTTTTTGTCCATGTTCGATCTTTCCCCTAATGGGAAAGATTTCTTTCTTCTTTTTTTGTGTTGTTATCAGGACCTCACCGAGGTGGGTTAAGAGATCTTCCCCCTCCCCCCCCCCCCCCCCCTTTTTTTTTGTTTGAGCTAGAACAGTACCGGTTTTTTCTGTTGGTCAATGTTCCTCTCTTGTGTGTTCGGGAAAAAGAAGTTCATCCTCTCCCTTTTTCATTACTTTTTGGTTCCGGGTACCTGTGCCCTATAAAACCACGATCTTCTGTCCAATAAACTTCAGCTGTGTTTGAGACTTTGTGTTGTGTTGTCCTCCCCCCCCCCCCCCCCCCCCCCCCCAGTCTCGGGGTTTTGTCTAAAATGTTAAACCTTCACCAGCTTGTTTGCGCCCTAACTTTTTGTTTGTTAATATTTGGGTTGTCTTTTGTATTTTCTGAATATGAGGTAAAGGGAGGAATATGCCATTTTTATTGTGAATCAACCTTGACGTGTTGCTAAAACAATTCAAAGGCACTATACACTCATATTTTATCGCTTCAGCTGCATGAGGTAAAGAGGCTCGTTGATATTATCCGGCAAGAGCGAGCTCTTTTGAATGTTCACACTAGTTTATGCTGCGCTAAACGGACACTCGACCGGTGTATAAGTGGCCGGGACGCGTGTAACCTTCAGCACGTTCGCAGGAGTTTCAAATGTTTCCCCTACAGTTTTTTTTTAGGCTGCATTTTGACCTAAAGTTTGTCCTTCATACAGGTACTCTCCTCCACCTCTGCAGGGTGAAACCGTGTACTTATATATCGCCATTAAAGCATTAATCGATTAATCGGTAGGTTAAGCGATCAATTGCCGAGCCCTAATACTTTTATATTACAGTATATACCTTACTGCTACGCAATATTTCAATATATCAGACTATAGTCCATCCTAATATGTTATATTGTATTGTAGGAGCGCAACACTAAATTATATATTCTATTACATTATATTTAATTGCTTCGCCCCTATTTTGCTTTTTGAGTCCAGCGCACCAAAATCTTGGTCAGACTCGGTCAATTACAACACCTTACCAAGAATTCGAACCCTCCAACTTAAAATCGCATACCAGCGCTTTATTTTTATTTTTTTTAAGACCGAGGCGGTTAGAATATGCATGGAAAAAAAGTGTGTAGGTATATCAACATAGAGAAGTTTAATTTTTTTTGCAGCTTTCCAGGGAAAGTCATCGAGCTCGGTTAATGCGTCATGTCGTAATACAAAAGGTGTTTACCTATATAATCTTTGTCCACCTTAAAGGTATTAAATAAATCCTAAATAGGCCACACGGAAGAGCTGGCCCTACTTGGCCAGGTATCAAAAGGACATAGTTGGACATTTCTATTGTAGATGCTCCGCCTTTAGCGCGCACTTGTTGTGTTACTCTAAAAATTGACTGCGCGTGCGGCGAAGGGCTATCGAATGCAGAAAGCTCGCCTTCAAGGAGAAGTATTTACTGTGTTCTTAACCTGTGACTCACTACAGCTACAATTTTATAAAAACAAACATAGCAAACGTCTGAATATAATTCACCATAATGAAATCAACTCTGAAAGTGCTGCAGAAAATCCTACTTCAAGATTTTAAAAATTGAGGATAGAAAATGGGGTGTAACATACGACCTTTGATAGGAAGGGTACACAACGATTTTCACCTGGGTTGCTTTAACCTTCAGTACATTCGGAACGCGACGTTCTCCTAACTTCCGGTTTGCGTCTTCCGTGATTGTTATAAATATTATTTCAGAACATGGGCTTTTATCAGAAACCTAAATTAAAACCCTGAAATCTGGCTTTAGCTGTGATAAAAACAGACTTCTCAATGAGAGAAGCGTGACCGCGTACTCAATGAAGGCACTATAATAACTTCATGTATAAGGAAGTCTTTCAAGAGCCAAAATTTATTTCCCTCAAAGGTTACGCAGAGTAAGTGTTCCGCGTGTACAAGAAAAATATGAGCCTAAAAGATTCATAATGTCTTCTTTGAAAACAAAATGAGACAGAATTTTGTTGGTTTTGAATGCTGGCCCTTTAGGGTGTTACTAATTTTATAAAAGTAAAAATGCTCCTAAAGATGTACGAGGATGCTGCTATCGACCGCAATCCTGAAGCTTTTGATCGACAGCTAATAAAATAAAAAATTGAACAAAGAATTTACTTGTCCAAGTTAAATTAAGAAGAAAAAATATTAGTTTGTTAAGAAATTAACACGCATTACACAGGGTAAGCTAGTTTCGCCCATGGTTCGAATCATTCCTGCCAGTCAGTTGTATTGTATACTCACTCACTCCTTACGACAGGCAGGGCGTGGCCAATCCCGAGCATCTTATTAGCGCTCTCCAGC